TTTGGCCATCATCTCTGTTGTATTCCCAGGGACATTAGCAGGGATTTCCATTTTAAGCAAAGTGGTTAGCTATCCAAGCCTGGCTTTCATATTTGATGCTCAAGTTGCAAGTTGAAGCTTAACACCCTGTACCACATAGCCAGGCTCCTCTCAGCCTTTCCAATTAATTAATTAGTTAATTTTACCTAATATATACTTTAAAGTTAAGCTGTAACCTCATAGGGACTTCAGTTGATACTGCCGGATTTTGGGTACTCAACCACAAATAGGAGGTCTCCTCTGTTCCTCTCTTGCCTGTAGCCTGTCACATGAAAAATGCTTAAGTCTTTTAATATGTTTTAATACCATAACAGTTGATTGTTTTATTTTAATCATGTGTATTTGTCATTTTATTATTTTTATTCTTTCTCTTTTTTAGTTTATTTTTTATTTTCATTTTTTAGGCCTTCTATATTTATTGGAAAGGGTGAGTTGGAGAGAGAGAGAGACAAGGAGATGTAGAGACAGATGTTCCATCTGCTGGTTCACTCACCAGATGACTCTGGGAGCAGTGCCAGGCCGAAGTCAGGTGCCTGAAACTGCATCTGGTTCACATGAAGCTGGCAGGTGCCCAAGTACTGGATCAATCACCTGCTGCTTTCCCAGGCATTTTAGCAGGAAGCTGGATCAGAAGTAGAGGAGCCAGGACTGCAACCTGGGCTCGTATGGGATGCCTGGGTTGCAGGTAGGGGCTTATGCTGCCATGCCACCATGCTGGCACCTAACATTAGGTCTTAAAAGTGGAACTCTGTGGACTGGGTATTTGATTCAATAAGTCATATATTTCCTGTGAGGTCCACATCCATGCTCTCATCCCTTTCCAGGTTCCTGCTCATACACATTGTGGGATGGAGCAGAGGATGGCAAGTGCACTTATGTCACTGCCACCCACACTGGGGTCTTGGGTAAAGCTGCTGGCACCTGGCTTCAGCCTGGCCACATAGTAGCCATCTGAGTAATTTTGGGTGGAAATCAGCAGGTGGTAGACCCCTTTCTTTCTGTCTCTCTGCCTTTTATTTATTGTTGTCAAACATTTATTTTATTTAGTTGAGAGTCATAGTGACAGAAAGGAAGAAACAGAGAAGATCTTCCAACTGCTGGATCACTCCCCAAATGGCTGGGAATTCTGGTGCTGGGCTAGGCCAAAGCCAGGAGTCTGAAATTCCATCCCAGTGTTCCCTGGGGGTGGCAGGGTCCCCAGTGCTTGAGCCATCATCTTCTGATGCCTTTCCAGGCACATTAGGAGGGATTTGTATGGGAAGTAGAACTGCCAGTAATCCAAGCCTAGCTGCTATATGTGATGTGTGATTTGCAAGCTGACCACTTAACACCGGTGCCCCTGTCAGCCTTTCAAGTCAATTAATTACTTAAATTCACTTAATTTATGTTTTAAAGTGAAGCTTTAACAGGATATGGACTGCAGTTGATACTGCTGCAGTTTGGGGACTGAACAAGCAGATAGGAAATCTTCTCTGTTATTTTCTCTTCCATTTGTCGACTTCAAATAGTCTTTGTCTTTGAGCTTTTTTTTTGGGGGGGGGGCAGGCAGAGTGGACAGTGACAGAGAGAGACAGAAAGGTCTTCCTTTTTCCGTTGGTTCACCCCCCAATGGCTGCTGTGGCCGGCGCACGGCGCTGATCCAAAGCCAGGTGCTTCCTCCTGGTCTCCCATGCAGGTGCAGGGCCCAAGCACTTTGGCCATCCTCCACTGCCTTCCCGGGCCACAGCAGAGAGCTGGACTGGAAGGGGAGCAACCGGGACAGAATCCGGCGCCCCAACCGGGACTAGAATCCGGGGTGCCAGCGCCGCAGGTGGAGGATTAGCTTTTTAAAAAATCATTGCACTAAGGGCCGGCGCTGTGGCACAGCGGGTTAAAGCTCTGGCCTGAAACGCTGGCATCCCATATGGGTGCCAGCTCTAGTCCCGGCTGCTCCTCTTCCGATCCAGCTCTCTGCTATGGCCTGAGATAGCAGTAGAAGATGGCCCAAGTCCTTGGGCCCCTGCACGTACGTGGGAGACCTGGAAGAAGCTCCTGGCTCCTGGCTTCGGATCGGGGCAGCTCTGGCCATTGCAGCCATCTGGGGGGTGAAGCAGTGAATGGATGACCTCTCTCTCTGTCTCTACTTCTCTATGTAACTCTGTTTTTCAAATAAATAAAATAAATCTTTAATAATAAAAAAAATCATTGCACTTGAGGCCAGCACTGGCATAGTAGGCAAAGCTTCCCAGTGCCGGCATCCCATTTGGGCGCTGGTTCAAGTTCTGGCTGCTCCTCTTTGGATCCAGCTCTCTGCTTATGGCCTTGTAAAGCAGTGGAAAGTGGCCCAAGTGCTTGGGCCCCTGTACCCACATGGAAGACCTGGAAGAAGCTCCTGAGTCCTGGCTTTCGATCGCCCCAGCTCCAGACATTATAGCCATTTTGGGAGTGAACCAGCCTATGGGAGACCTTTCTCTCTGTCTCTCCCTCTCTCTGTAACTCTGCCTTTCAAATAAATAAAATCTTTTTTTTATAAAAGATGTATTTACTTACCTTAAAGTTAGAATTACACAGAGAGAGAAGGAGAGGCAGAGAGAGAGAGAGAGAGAGAGAGAGAGAGAGAGACAGGAGCCAGGAGCTTCTTCTGGGTCTCCCACATGGGTGAAGGGGCCCAAGCACTTGGGCCATCTTCTACAGCTTCTACATCTTCTACAGGCCATCACAGAGAGCTGGATCGGAAGTGGAACAGCTGGGACTTGAACAGGTGCCCTTATGGGATGCCGGCACTGCAGGTGGCAGCTTTACCTACTACACCACAGTGCCAGCCCAAAATAAAGAAAATCTTAAAAAATTGAATAAATTAAAAAAACACATTGAACTTGATTCCATTTTTTCATGTATTTTTACTCTTTTATTTATTTTACTCATTTATCTCATTTCTTTTTGTTTGATTCATTTAGTTTATTTTTATTTTCCTGTTTTTAAGCCTTCTGTATTTATTTATTTTTGGAAAGGCATAATTATATATATGTAGAGAAAGGGAAGCACAGAGAGACAAATGTTCCATGGTTTACTCCCCAAATGGATCTCAGGGCTGGGCCAGGCCATAGCCAGGTACCTGAAATTTGGATGCAGCAGGTGATGGTAGGTGCAATTGTGTCCCTGCCACCCACGTGGGAAACCTGTGTTAAGTTCCTGGCAGCTGCTTCAGCCTTGCCCAGTATCATCTTTCTAAGTAATCTTGGGCTTGAATCGATAGGCGGGAGACTTCTGTGTATCTGCCTGTCTCCCTCTGTGTCTCTGCCTTTCCTTCATTGTCATTAAACATTTAGTTTATTCAGTCGAAAAGTAGAGAGAGACAGAGAAAAGGAGATCTTTGATCTACCTTACTGGCTGCCCTTTTGGATTTTTCTTTACGGTTTTTCCATATCTCCCTGACTTCTTAACTATTGATTCTCAAACTATAGTGTTCATCAGAATTACCTGGGACACTTATGAACAAATTGGCTGTTGGACTCCACCCCAGAGTTTCTTCTTCAGTAGATATGGAAAAGGACACAAAAAATGCACATTTCGAACTAGTTTGCTGGTGATGCTGATGTTGTTGATCTGAGACCACACTTTGAGAATTTTGCTTTAAATTTTCACTAGAAAGTTTATTTACATTTATTATCTCAGTGCTCTCAACTAGGTTCATGTTTTTAATTTTTAAAAATTTAATTATTTGAAAGAGATCCCATTCATTGGTTCATTCCCCAAATGCTTACAACTGCTTTAGGCCAGGGGTCAAAACTAGCAGCTGGGAAATCAACTCAAGTGTCCCGTGTATGTAGCAGGGGCCTAGTCACTTGTACTATCACATCCACCTTCCAGGGGCTGCATCAGCTGGAAGCTAGGGTCAGTAGAACTCAGACACTCCAATATGGGGTGTAGGCATCCCAACTGGTATCTTAAGCACTAGGACAAAGTCGTAACCCAGTCTCATGGATTTTTTTTTGGTGTTTTTTTTTTAACTCTTATTTAATGAATATAAATTTCCAAAGTATGATTTATGGATTACAATGGCTTCCCCCCCATACCGTCCCTCCCACCCACAACCCTCCCCTTTCCCACTCCCTCTCCCCTTCCATTCACATCAAGATTCATTTTCAATTATCTTAATATACAGAAGATCAGCTTAGTATACATTAAGTAAGGATTTCAACAGTTTGCTCCCACACAGAAACATAAAGTGAAAAATAATAGATGATTTTTTTAAATGATGATGAAATCAGATCAGACCTATTGTCATGTTTAATCCCAGTGAGAGTCAAGGTGGGAGTTGATAATTTCTTTTTTTTTTTTTTACAGAGGATCAGTTTAGTATGCATTAAGTAAAGATTTCAACAGTTTGCACCCCCATAGAAACACAAAGTGAAATATATTGTTTGAGTACTCGTTATAGCATTAAATCTCAATGCACAGCACATTAAGGACAGAGATCCTACATGAGGAGTAAGTGCACAGTGACTCCTGTTGTTGACTTTACCAATTGACACTCCTGTCTATGGCACCAGTAATCTCCCTACTCTCCAGTCATGAGTTTCCAAGGCTATGGAAGCCCTCTGAGTTCTCCGATTCTTATCTTGTTTAGACAAGGTCATAGTCAAAGTGGAGGTTCTCTCCTCCCTTCAGAGAAAGGTACCTCCTTCTTTGAAGACCTGTTCTTTCCACTGGGATCTCACTCGCAGAGATCTTTTGCCAGAGTGTCTTGGCTTTCCATGCCTGAAATACTCTCATGGGCTTTTCAGCCAGATCCGAATGCCTTTAGGGCTGATTCTGAGGCCAGAGTGCTATTTAGGACATCTGCCATTCTAAGTCTCATGGTTTTCAAAAGCAGCTATACACTGATGTCTCCCAAATTTGAATCTCTAGCTAAGATCTCCAATGAAAATTTGAATGACCCACTATTTAGTAAGCATCTCTACATAAATACTCAAGATTATCTTAAATTTCATTTTTCTTTTTTTTTTTCCTGGAAAGTCACTTTATTGCAATGCAGCACACTCCAAGCCCCTTCAGGCCCCCTCCTCCTTTGCGATCCTGTCCTTCTTAAGTGGTCCCATGAAGGCCTTCTTCTCCTCCACCGTCTGGAAGCGGCCGTGGCCGAACTTGGAGGTGGTGTCGATGAACTTGAGGTTGATCTTCTCCAGGGCGCGCCGCTTGGTCTGTACCAGCAGGGACTTGCGCAGGGTTAGCACCCGCTTCTTGGTGCCCACCACGCAGCCTTTCAGCGTGCTCTTGTCTGACAGGTCGTAGGCAGTGGAGGCGTTGTTCTTGATCAGCTTGCCGTCCTTGATCAGGTAGCCCTGGCCGATTTTGTAGATTTTCTTGTTGATCTCCGTGCGGTGGTGGTAGCCTTTCTGCCCAGCCCGTGCCACAGAGAAGGCCACGCGCACCGGGTGCCACACCCTGATGCAGGCCACCTTGAGCAGCCCTCGGTGCGTCTTGCGGGGCAGCTTCTTGGTGTGCCAGCGGCTGGTGACCCCATTGTAGCCCTTGCCCTTGGTCACGCCGATGACGTCGATCATCTCGTCCTGGCCGAACACCTGGCTCACTGGGACCTGCTGCTCCAGGCGCTCCCGGGCCCAGTCCAGCTTCTCGGCCACGGTGCCGCCATTCACCTGGATCTCCATCAGGTGCGCCTTCTTCTGCCGCAGGGGCAGCAGGCGCATCTGCGTGTGCGCCAGCACGCGGATGACCTGGCAGTACTTCTTCATGCTGCTGAAGTCCTTGTCCAGCTGCCGCTTACCCGCGTCGTCCTGCCACTTCTTGCAGTACTTGGTGAAGGCCTTCTTCTTCGACTTGTGCCAGTTCTTGTAGAAGTGCCTCTTGCACTCGTCACTGATGTGCTCGGCGAACACCGTCTTGAAGGTGCGGAGGACCCGCGGGGTCTCCACGTAGCCCACGATGCCCACGACCACCATGGGCGGGGTCTCCACGATGGTCACGGCCTCCACCACTTCCTTCTTGTTCACCTTGGAGCCCGGCCGGTCCACTTCCCGCACGATGTGCGTCATGCCGGCCTTGTAGCCCAGGAAGGCGTCACCTTACCCCGCTAAACTTGTTTCTTTCATATTCTGCCCCATTTCATTAAATAGCAACTCTGTTGTTCTATTTGCTCAGGCCAAAAGTTTTCCAAGTTATTCTTTTTTCTTTTAAATATTTCTTTTATTTATTTGAAAGACAGAATTACAGAGAGACACACACAGAGAGAGAGAGAGAGAGCTAGGTCTTCCATCTGCTGGTTCACTCCCCAAATGGCCCCAATGGCCAGAGCTGGACTGATCCAAAGCCAGGAGCCAGGAGTTTCTTCCGGGTCTCTCATGCAGCTGCAGGGGCCCAAGGACTTAGTTCATCTTCTGCATTCCCAGGCCACAGCAGAGAGCAGGATCAGAAGTGGAGCAGCCAGGACTTGAACCGGCGCCCATAAAGGATGCAGGCACTGCAGGCAATGGCTTTACCTGCTATGCGACAGTGCTGGCCCCATATGTCTTTCTTTTTTTTCAAAAAAATTGTATTTATTTAAAAGGCAGAGAGAGAGAAAGAAAGTAAGAAAGGAGAGGGAGAGAGGGAGAGAAACCAACTTCCATCTGTTGGTTCACTCCCCAAATGCCCACAGTAGCCAGGACTGGGTCAGGCTGAAACCAGGAGCCTGAAGCTCTATCCAGTTCTCTCATATGAATGACGAACCCAAGTACTTAGGCCATTCTCTGCTGCTTTCCCAGGCGCATTAGCAGGGAGCTGAATTGAAAGCAGAGCAGGGGCCCCGCACTGTGGCACATCGGGTTAAAGCCCTGCACCCGCATGGGAGAGAGACCCAGAAGAAGCTCCTGGCTCCTGGCTTCGGATTGGCTCAGTTCTGGCTGTTTTAGCCATTTAGGGAGTGAACCAGCAGATGGAAGACCTTTCTCTCTCTCTCTGGCTCTACCTCTCTCTGTAGTTCTGTCTTTCAAATAAAAAATAATCACACACACACACACACACACACACACACAAAAGCAAGCAGAGCAGCCGGGACTGCAACTGAAACTCTGATACAGGATGTAAGCATAGCAGGCAGTGGCTTAATCCACTGTACCCCAACAGTGGCCCTGTAAACTTAACTTTTAATTCCATTTCTGTGAACTTTTCTAAGTCTCTTCATAGTTTCCTTCTTTTTAAAAAATATTTATGTTGAAAGGCAGAATTACAGAGGGAGAGAGAGAGAGAGTTTGGTCTTCCATCTGCTGGTTCACTCCCCAGATGGCCACAAAAGCTGGGGCTGGGCCAGGCTGAAGCCAGCAGCCGGGAGCTTCATCTGGTCTCTAACATGGGTACAGGGGCCCAGGTACTTGGGCCATCCTCTGCTGCTTTCCCAGGCACATTAGCAGGCAGCTGGATCAGATGTGGAGTAGCCAGAATTCAAACCAGTGCCAATGGGATGCTGGCATTGCAAGTAGTTGAGTTACTTACTATGCCACAGTGCTGCCCCTTCCCTTTTTTCATAGTTTCCTATCTTTCTACTTCCACCCTTCCCCACTAGGTCCCTTCTCCACACAGAAGCCAAAGTGAGCCCTCTAAATCATCAGTCAGTCCATGTCACTGTACTCAAAATCCTCCATTAACTCCGCATTTCATCATGCAGATTTTACCTAATTAGCTGTGTTTTCTATCTCAAAGCCTTCATGCTTACTATTCCTTCTGCCTGGTATGCTCTACCTCTTAATATTTTCATGGTTTACTTTTTGAAGTTTTTGCTCAAATATTACCTTCTCTGTGAAGTCCAATATGTCTGCTATATTTTAAATTGAACTCACACATTCATACTTCCTTCCCTAGTATATTTTTCTTCATTGTATTAATCACCACCTGATATTGTATATTGATTTACTTGCTTTGTGCTGCTCTTTGAATCACCCTTCCCTGAGTGTAAACTCCATAAGGGTAGACATATCTGCTTGTTTTTCACTGATGTCTTGTGAGTACATAGAATAGTATCTGACACATAGTGAGGGTTTAATAAATATTTTTGAATGAAAAAGTGAAGCCAATCATGAAATTGTGATTTCTTGCTCTTGATTTTGCTCTCATTCTTCTTTCTTTGAATATCAGCTCTCTTTGCTTGTTTATATACAAAGGCTAAATATGATCATTTCTGTGCATATCTATCCTATAGAACAGAAATGTCAGGGGACCATAATTGTCTTTAAATAATTACATGGAAGATGGAATTATTTTTTGGTCTAGCAGGAGAGGGCAGCACCAGACCAAGTGGATGGAATTACAAGGAAATACATTTCCATACTACATAGAGACAAACTTTCTAAAACTACAGTGATGGGACAAAACTACAACAGTGGAAAAAGCTGCCTTGAATTGAGGTACTTGACACTCAAGATATTTAAGCATAAGTTAGACTACTGACTCCTTCAATCCATTATGTTCAGTGACCTCTCAAGTCCTTTTAAAATTTGGTGTTGGGGGCTGGCGTGGGTAAAACCACCGCCTGCAATGTTGGCACCCCACGTAGGTGCCAGTTCGAGTCCCAGCTGTTCCACTTCTGATCCAGCTCCCTGCTAATATGCCTAGGAAAGCAATGGAAGATGCCCCAAGTCCTTGGACTCCTGTCACCCACATGGGAGACTGGGAAGAAGCTCCTGACTTTGGACCAGCACAGCTCTCTGGCCATTGTGGCTATCTGGGGAGTGAACCAATGGATGGAAGCTTGTTTGCTCTTTCTCCCTCTCTCTTCCTCTCTCTCTGTAACTCTGCCTTTCAAATAGATAAATAAATAAATAAATAATCTTTTTAAAAAATCTGATGTTATAGGACAAAGAAAAAAACACATCGTGTTTATTTTATTCACATGTCTTAGAGACCATTCTGTTTCTCAAGTGTTTAAAATATGAAATTTGGGGGCTGGCACCATGGTGCAGTAGGTTAATCCTCTGCCTGAGGGGCCAGCATCTCATATGGGCACCAGTTCTAGTCCTGGCTGCTCCTCTTCCAATCCAGCTCTCTGCTGTGGCCCAGGAGGGCAATAGAAGATGGCCCAAGTGCTTGGGCCCCTGCACCCTCATGGGAGACCAGGGGGAAGCACCTGGCTCCTGGCTTTGGATTGGCACAGCTACGACCGTTACAGCCATTTGGGGACTGAACCGATGGAAGGAAGACCTTCCTCTCTGTCTCTCCCTCTCACTGTCTGTAACTCTAACTCTCAAATAAATAAATAAATAAATCGTTAAAAAATATGAAGTTTGTGGAAAGTGTTCATTGTGAAAAACACTATTGTACGATTTCAAACTTGCTTGCACCAAAGTAAACTTATTTTAATTCATTTCAGTGAACTTTTTAAAAAAAGATGTATTCATTTACTTGAAAGTCCAAGTTATACAGAGAGGGAGAAGAAGAGGTGGGGGGGGGGTGTCTTCCATTCACTGGTTCATTCCCCAAATGGCTGCAACGGCCGGAGCTGCACCGATCCAAAAGCTTCTTCGGGCCGAGGGCTTGAGCCATCTTCTGCTGCTTTCCCAGGTCATAGCAAAGAGCTGGACCGGAAGTGGAACAGCCGGGACTCAGACAAGCGCCCATATGGGATGCTGGCCCTGCAGGCGGCGGCTTTACCTGCTATGCCACAGCGCTGGCCACCATTTCAGTGAACTTTAAAAAAATGTATTGGAAGTGCCGGTGTTGTGGTGTAACAGGTTAAGCTGCCGTGTGCAATGCTGGCATCCATATGGGCACCCGTATGAGTTCTGGCTGTACCATTTCTGATCCAGCTTTCTCCCTGCTAATGTGCCTGTTAAAGCAGCAGCAGATTACCCAAGTCCTCAGGCCTCTGCACCCACATGCGAGACCTGGATGAAGCTCTTGGCTCCTGGCTTCAGCTTGGCCCAGCCTCAACTGTTACAGCCATTTGGGGAGTGAACCGGCAGTGGATGGAAGATTGATGATTGATATCTCCCCCAAATCTGACCCGCCCTCCCACCTCTTTTTCTTTCTGTGTAACTCTGCCCTTAAAATAAATAAATCTTAATAAAAAGGAAAAAACTATTGAAGAGGCAGAGACACACAGAGAAAGAGAAATCTGTCTACTGGTTTACATTTCCCATGCCCCGAGCTGCAGAGAATGAGGCGGGAGATGCGTACTCAATCCAGGTCTCCAGTGTGAGTGGCTCATTTGTTGTCTTTGAAGCCAGGACTAGTTAGTTTGTGTTGGTAGTAACTGGGAGCAGGCATGATGGGGAATTTCTGGGATATTGGTTACAGTCTATTCCTGGGTGCTGGTTCTACTTTGGGAGTATTCACATTGTTGTGTGAGTCTTGATTTCCTAATCTACAAAATGGGATTAATGTCTACCTTGAACAGTTGTTAGTATCCAAGTCAATGTATATAAAGAACCTAGCACATAGTAAATCTTCATTCAGTATTAACTCTTATTATTAGCAATGGTATCTTTGTCATCTTCTTCCTGGGCAGTCTTATCTATTTTCATGACTTCTGTAGCTACAAAATTCACATCTTCAGCTCTGGTCTTTCTTTGTTAACTGAGACTCCATATTTTTGCTATCTGCTTAGACATTTTAATTTGGGGATCCCATAAATACCTCAAACTCCACATGTCCCAAAGACTCAGATGACTGCTCACTCCCTACCTCCCATGCCCACTGCCTCTCATGATCAGGTCCCCATTGTTTGTTTGAAAAGTAGAGAGGGAGAGAGAAAAAGGGAGAGCAAGAGAGATTTTACATTTCCTGGTTCACTCCCCAAATGCCTTCAATAGCCAGATCTGGATTTTGACTGGCCCACAACCAGCTGTTGCGGCCATCTGGGGAGTGAACTAGTAGGTAGAAGATCTCACTTTCTGTTTCTTCGCCTTTCAAAGAAATAAATACATCTTAGGAAACAAATGCGAAATTGGGCAAGTAATTGCCTAAGCTTGCTCCTTTTCTTATCTTTTGTATTTTATTCTGTGACGTTAACATGTACATGTATACATTTATTAAATCAATTTGTAAATCTTCACAGAATCATGGAAGGGCTTTTCATGAGCAGTATGTTTCATATG